AGATTATCGTTCCGGCGCGCTATGTAGCGGCTACAGAAAATTCACGTGACACCATAGCGCCGCTATGGCGGCGCTATAGCGGATAAAAAAGTTTCCAAAACCTTGTGTCGAGCAACGACATAGCGTCACTATAGCGTAGCCATAGCGTAGCGTCGGAGTTGCATGTATCGGCTACGAGCAAGACTGATATATAGTTTGCATCCGTCTGATCGACCCCCCGCTGTCCCCTTGGCCTTCTGGGAGTTGTACTCACCTTGCGACTCGCACCGCAAGCTCCCTGTGGACTTGGTCTCGGCATAATTCTGTCCGAGTCGCCCGGAAGCTCGAGAATTGACTGGTCAGTACTTCGGGTTCGTTACTATTCTTCGGCTACATCCATTACGGCACTGATCGTCTAGCATCGCAGGTTCGGCCTTCATATAAGGCAGTCGGGACCGATTGTCAAGCGCGTGCAGGGCGTCATGTAGGTTTCAGCCGCCGTCTCACATCAACCACTCGTGTACTAATCGATGACTTGGTTTGCAGACATGCCCCTCAAGGAGCGGAAGCAGTCCTCACCCTGCAATCCAAGTCTCAGAACCCCTGCATGCAAGGGACAGGCCTCATCGAACTGCTCGCTTACTCTTTGTACTCCTTGCTGTGCTCGTCAACCCGAGGGTGTCGCTGTCTGTCGTTACCAGTATCACCGAAAAGCACGCTTAGCACACCAATCCTCATCGCAATCTCCAGCGACTGCACCTGCACCTGCACCATTGGCATCGACCTCTGGCGACACCCACCTGGGCAACTCTTCTCCTAGTAAGCTTGTGGCCACCACCTCCTCTCCTGCATCACAGCCCCCCTCCGATTCCGCATTGTACGCCAAGCCACTCGCAAATACTTGGTCTGAGAAACAGGCCCTTGTTGCACATGTCGAGCGTGCTCATGATATCGCACGTCGGGAGGAGAAGGCGAAGAAGGAGGTTGAGAGGCAGGGTATGCAGGAGCATATGTCACGGACGGTTACCTTTCGGATTTGGACGCAGGTGAGCATAGGTCATTCAGTAATATATCTTTAGTCTCATGTGTGCACGCTGGTAGGAAGGCGAAGAGCCGACCTCTCAGCGAGTGTTTCTCTCGGCGTTTCCTGATTTTGTGCCTGCGCGGGTGCCATCTCTGATGGAAGAGCTTCCTGATGGGATCTCCCGCATCGCCGTTTTTATGCCCGATGATGGCTCATGGATGAAGCTTGATATCCTGGCTGGGTGCACGGTTCAGCCACTGGGCGAGCAGCGTGAGGTGCTAGTGCGTCTCATCACCTTCAATGATCTGGACTGTCCCGGTCTTCCTCCTTTTGCTGCACACGCTTCTGGTCAAGTGGCGAAGCGGCGTCGAGACCCTTCTGCCAATGGGGAGGACGATCTGTCATCTAAGCCTAAGAAAGGAAGGACTATGGAGCCGCGTCTCATGTTTCCATCTCAGTATCCATTCCGCACAGTATGGGACTACGTGAAAAACGTCGATAGGCGGAAGCGAAGGGATAGATCTATGACTGTAGCAAAGGCTCTAAAGCTTGTCAATGAAGCTACCAAGGTCGATTGCAAGGAGTCCACGTTGAACGATATCAAACGGTGGCTCCGGCAAGGAGATGTGGACGTGTGGGAGCGTTTTCTTCAGCTGGGCTTGTTAGAGGGGGGTTCCTTTGGCGACTACAAAGACGCTGTCAAAAACCGGTCTCCGGAACAGACTTCGTTACCATGGAATCCTATTCATCCGGGTCCTACTCCTCCTTCTGACGGTGATGTCAACCAATTTCTTGTCATGGCGCGTTCATGATTGTTGACATAGTACTTGTCTAGTGGATCCCTCACCTTCTTCAGCCCATGCTCCGATTGTCCCGAGTTTACAAGACTTCCGAGAGTTAGACATCGTGTCCGACACTGACCCCTCCGAGCCTGGAAGTCTGGTGATGGACATCACACTTGACAGCGAGCATGCTCCGTCGAGTCCCGTTCCAGAGTGCGCTACAGACGAGGAGAGCAACTTCCAATGTAAGTGTCAACAAAGCCAACTCCGACAAGTCAATGATTGCTTACATCTACATGCAGTCGCTCATAGCCCCAGCACTGCACTTGACAACATATCCGCCATCGAACCCTCTTTCTTGGCCCATGTCCCATCACTGCCCATGTCCGATGTGTCCGCCTATCTCCACACTCTGTCTTTGGATGTCGCATCTTCACTTCTTGCGCTCCGAGTCGCTGCTGCTGAAACCACTGCCGACCAATTATTCTCTAATCCCGTTTCGGTTCCATCACTCGCTGGCAACTCTGAAGCAGGCATATCGATCGACATATCATGTTCCGATGACATGCGTAATTTCGATGCATCGGACTTCGCATTTGGTTTCGACTTCACGAGCTCGATGCCAGACATATTTCATAATGAAGGCCCAGTGTCTACTTAATCATTCTCGTAAGTCTCCCGATTCAAGTTTTCTGATTTCACAGAAGACGCATTTGCTGACCTTGCCTCCTGTAGATGCCAATATGTATATTCCATGAGGTTCCCGCCTCTCACGACACCATCAACACCGTCTCAGCTAATAGGTATACATTTACGCTTACATAGCACTTACCATAAAGTAGATACATCGTCTCATACTACACTACTCGCTCTTAAATCCACATGTCTCCCATTCACAACAATACCCACAAAATCACGGCTCCGCTGCAACCAAGGCCCAGATCGTCGTCGCAACAGGTCCCTAAGTACTGGCGTGACGCATCACGAGACAGCCAGGCGCGAAGCATGGCAGTGAATGGCCGATGCCGCGAGCCATTTGAGCATTTTGTCGCACTCGTCCAGGATGAAGTGCTTGACCTTTGAGGCATTGAGAAACCTTGTATCTGATGAGGGCGTTCAGGCGGCCGGAGGTGGGACCCACAGTATCGTACTCGAACTGCCGTGCTGCTGAGCCAGATGCGGCGAGAGGCAAGAGCGTACGTTGCGTAAACGGGATGGGGGTGCAAGCATGGATGGACCGTTCATGCCAATGTAGAGCGCGATTACGCCAAGCTACGGTTGCGGGATGTGGGCGTGTGAAGGGCACTGCTGGTCAGTGGCGGTCACTACGTGCTGGTGAGGATGCATCTTGTCGACGTCCTGCTCGCCTGCGGGCCACACATCAAAGTGGACCTGTGCATGCTGCGGCCGCGGTGCGCACATAAGTTATGAATGCTCGACGGGAAGCGACTGTGGTGCGGGCGTCATACGCATGGTGCCCGGAAGCGAGGCGTCGGAGCCGGAGAATGCACTCGAGGGACCGTTCTCAGTGACTGGCCACGAGGCGTGCGGATCAACGGGCTCGAACACGTTGCTACCGCCAGGGGTCACGGTAGAGTACGCGTCCGTGGCCGTGGACGGCGCCGACGTGAAGTCGTAGCTGTCGGAGGGCTAATGTTGAGGTGCAGCGGGACTTGGGCGTCGGGTGGGATGAACGCCTGCATGTTCGGATCGAAGTGGGACAGCTCTGTGGGCGGTGCGTCATCCTTGAACGAGTTCGTCCACCCCGGCTGGAAGATGCTTGTGTCGGTAACCTCCAGCAGCGGAGAAGTGTCGGGCTGGAATTGCCAGCTCTCAGGCATGGCAGTGTAACCGTGTACGGCGTGGTATGGGTGGGGATCATAGCCATCCAACATACGCCCCGAGGGTATCGGCCGGCAACTTGATGCGCGTCGCATCCCATACACAATTCGCGAGCGGGAGATGTCCCCGACAGGCGACACAGCGCGCGAGCCGTGGAGACTGGCAGGGCCTGCGGCATACCCTTGGTTGAACATGCCTGCACCGTAGGCCACCTGGGGCTGGGGGGCGACGAGGAATGGGAGGGCGGGGAGTGTCACGAACCGCCCCCACGGGGCTACGTTTTCCTTTTCGATTCGGACCACTGCCTTGTACGTTCACCCCTTGTTCTCTATTCGGCGTGGTTTCCCCTTGTTTGCACACGGACAACAGCTCCCCTTGTTTCTCTCTTCGCTATTGTCCTACGGCCTTGTACTCGGTGCCCATGGCAACGCCATTGTCCCCTTAGCGCCCATTGTTCGTTCCTCGTATATAGCTGGATCCCTTGCTACCTGGAGACTCTAGTTTCGACCTCTTGTCTCCAGGTAAGCCATCGTGTATTTCGCTCTGTAGATACTTCGCTCAATACACAACTTGTCTCCAGTCCTGCCTGTTGAGCTCCGCTCCAGTCTCACTGCGATCAGAGCTCGTCGGCGCTCCTGCCTGCCTCGCTCGTCTCCACTTACTCGCCCGACAGTCA